CAAATTTTAGAAGACAAATATCACTAACTTCTAGATTGTAGGTAGAAATTTGTGGAATAGATTTATTTACCTAGATCAGAAATAAGCACTTAATCATGTTAAAAGATTATATAGGATATTTAAAATAATACAACATCCCATCACAAACTGCATTAAAACTGGTTACCTGAGAACTCTTTGGAAAAGATTATTTATACTTAGTCAACCACATACAAAATAGAAGTTAAAATTTATTTTCTGTTGAAATCAAATGTAGTCTGAGCGACTAAGTTTGATCATCCTGCCTGGTAAAAATCTTCAGCACTTTGACTGTGAAATAAAGTAATACATAAAGCTTTAGCAAACAAGATTTCTTCCCAAGGATGATAAGAAGGTTACAAAAACCCTAAAAGGGCTTTGAAAACCACTGACTCAAATAGAAAATTCATGAAAGCTGAGACCAGACCAAATTAAATAGGCCCAACTCAACTCAGCACTATAAAAGATTTTCCAAAATACTCCTCAGGTGAAATACACAGGCAGCAACTTTGTTTGTACACAAAATCACTCAGGTGCCTTTGGAAATCAGTTGCTGTGAAGTGCAAAGCAAAATCTCCCAATTCATACATATATTATGTAAAAAATATGGATAGGATGGCCAAGTGGGGCAGAGAGTAATAAAAAAAAAAATCTACAAAAAAAAATCTACAGAAAATGAATGAGGCTCTTCAATTATTCTAATCATTGGAGATTATTAATTATGTCTCTAAATATTGATAGTCTCATTAATTTCCCTTTTTGAAAATATGTATACCTTATATAATATATTCCCTATCAGAATAATTGAAATTTACCATCTTCTCTACACTGAAGCTGTTTTTGGGGGGGAAAAAAATCTAAGAATTGTCAGAGGGATGGATTAAAATAGAGAAAGGGCATTAGAGGAAATATTTATAATGAGAATATCATTACATAATCACCAATTCAGAGAACAGGAGTCCTGAAAGTGTTCCAAGAAATGTTAGCTAGTCTCTCTTCTGTCTTTCAACAAACTTAGTTGACAAAATCACCCTATATTTCTTTTAAAGGCTAGCAGATAAAAAGATTTTCCAAGTTTACAATTCAGGGCTTAACAGCCTTCTCTGTCAGCAGCTCCTTCCAGATATCTAACTTAAATCCCATAAGCTTTAATGTAAGCCCATTTGTTCCAGTTTGAACATAGAGAAAATAACTTTTTATAATGACTTTTAATAGAAATGTAGTACAATTTCAAGGTAGAAAGAATGACAAGTAATATGCACAAACTGGGACTATCTCCCTCTTAATCTGTAGAAGTTTTTTGCTATTGAATCTTTAACTCTTTTTGTAAAAGTACTATTAAATTATGGACCTCCACCATATTTTTTAAGAAGACAGAATTTTAAAGGCTGCAGTAAAGATTTTTGAGGGTAGTAGCATCATGGAAAAGAGAATAAGTAAACATGTTTCAGCATAGTATGGATATCAAGATGATCTTCTTAAATGAATTATAAATGAGGCCATTTGAGAGTCACCGTGCTGGACTGTTAGCTATTACCATCTTCCTTCCTTTTTTCCTTTCCATCTTTTTCCTGCTGAGGCAATATCATTTTGTTCCCATTTCTAACTGTTTTCTGAACTAAGTCTTTAAGAGAGAAAAACTATGGAATTCAGTAGCATATTTATCACGCTATTTATGATTGCATGCATGAGAGAAATACTTTTAATTCTGCTTGCATTACTTGAATTTTATGGGATGAAAACTTAGATTCAATCCTAAAGGTTGCATTACTTTGCAGAAATTTAGTATTGTTTGTTCTATTTAGTTATTTGTGTCAAGTTTCAAACTTAATTTTATCTTTTGCATTTGAAAACTTAAGGTCATTAAAATATCAGGGATGGAATTTTAAACAAACTGAGAGATTTACAAATCTTATCTTTTGATACTGATGAGGTTGGTTTCTTGTGATGTATGCTACAACTTTCCTGCAGTAGGTTAGAATTTGAGCTATTTTCTTATGACATGTGTTAGAGAAGACTGGACATGAAATTTTCCTAAGAGGATTATAATATTTATCTACACATTTGATTATTTTAATTCTTTTAGGATTCTTATGTTGGTTTTTAAAAGAAAAATTAGTAATGTAAAAACTTCAGAGCCATTTGAGAAAATAAGTCTTCTACGGTGTTTTATGTTTAACGTGGTCTTTACACTTAGAAAAATAATATTCTATTTTATTCTTAGAATTCTGTTAGTTTTCAGTTTTGAAAAGAACTATAAAAATAAAGATAATTTGGTATCTATTTTGAAGGAACATGAGCTGAGGGGATTTTAACATGTTTTCTTGTGTTTGAGAGCATGGTAGATCAGTACCGATAAGCAGCTTCACTGAATTCTTGGTAAGGAAGGGCAAATACTTAAGGACTGCTCTGAAGTTATAGAAGGCATATCTTTAAAGTCTTGATATAAGGATGGGAACCACTGATATTTGTCTCCACAGAAATTTATGCTACTAGGAAACTTAAAAAAAAGTGCTCTTATTATAGAAGAAAATCATGTTCATTATTGGTTAATCACTCAACTATTTGTGGAGACATTACTTGTCCCCAGTCCTTAGGCCTCACTACTGAGATTCACTTAAACATATCATGTGCTTTTATTTCTCTTTCATTGTCCCTCACCACAATTTGAGTTATTTCCAACCTGCACCAATTATGGCGTTTTTTTTTTTTTTGAGACGGAGTTTCACTGTTGTTACCCAGGCTGGAGTGCAATGGCGCAATCTCGGCTCACCGCAACCTCCGCCTCCTGGATTCAGGCAATTCTCCTGCCTCAGCCTCCCGAGTAGCTGGGATTACAGGCACGCGCCACCATGCCCAGCTAATTTTTTTGTATTTTTAGTAGAAACGGGGTTTCACCATGTTGATCAGGATGGTATCGATCTCTTGACCTCATGATCCACCCGCCTCGGCCTCCCAAAGTGCTGGGATTACAGGCTTGAGCCACCGCGCCCGGTCAATTATGGCTTTTTAAGTCCACTGAGTCTATATACAATTGTCGACCTAGTTTGAATATTTTCCCAAAGAGGCTATTCTACTTTCTTATAAATCAAGGGTGTAGCTAGGTACTTTGACCGGGAGGAGGTAGATTGATGAAACCCACTGTCTCAAAGTTCCATCTAGTGATTGCATCAAACTGGTCACCAATATTCAGTTTCAGTCTCCTTCACAAGTGTGGGAAGATGATAATCACATGTGACTTGACATGGCTAATAAAATATACATGGAAATTTTATATTTATCATTAAATTTATATTTATTCATTTCTAGATGTATCACTTCCAGGCTAGAAACATTTTAGAAGTGGCAAGTAGGAGTCCAAGCTTCTTCCCTCCTGGATTGACCTAACCGTGGAACCAGATGGTTTAAAAACATTCAAGAAATCTTAATAGGAGGATGGGCAGATGTTCTGTGGCTAAATGCCTGGCACCATTTTTATTCTAGTCTTCATCCAACCTGCTAATCACCGGATTGTTCCATTTATGTTTCTGATAGAATAAGAGCATCCAACTGAGGTTTGAACTTATAAATACTGATTGTAGAATTTTAATTTTTCTTCATTTATGGTTCTAGCTTCTTACCTCTGTATTACCCTTAATAGTAAGTATTTTCCGTGGGTGAATTCACCACAAACCTTAGGGGAACTGGTTTGAGCTCTTTGGCTTACATGGCAGGAAATATTTGATTCAGTTTCCTGACAAATTGGATGAGATTTCTCATATAATGAGCATTCACATTGCCAGTGAACATGCCATATGTTTAGACACATGGTTTTACTTTTACGATCTTTAAAACTTAATTTATTTTATGTAGCCCATGGCTGAGATAATCATTTATAGGTTTCTAAGTACCAGCATTGGTGTTAGGTTTGAAAGTGCTCAGCTTTGGGCAGGAATGGAAGTATTATTTTACTCTAAGGCATACATTCAGAGAAGCACATACATTATTATCAACAGGAAACTTCTCGGTAAGTTCATTTTTTATTAGTACTGGCGGTGGTGTAAAATATCCTATAGGATAGATGTAAGGGAAATGTTACCCACATATTGATTTAGAAAGGCAGCCTTATAGATTATATTATAGATAGTCATGCTGTACATTGTTGCTCTATGCCACTTTTAAAAGGCATATTGTAAGTTGAGTTTTAAAAAGATGATTTTACCCTTATTTTAAGCTTGCCCATTTCTATATCAGAGTACCACCAGGACAAATAAATGAATGATAGAAGCTAGGAAAAATAATGATTAAAATAAATTAGAGGCTGGGTGTGGTGGCTCACTCCTGTAATCCCAACGCTTTGGGAGGCCAAGGTGGGTGGATCACCTGAGGTCGGAAGTTTGAAACCAACCTTACCAATATGGAGAAACCCCGTCTCTACTAAAAATACAAAATTAGCCAGGTGTGGTGGCACATGCCTGCTATCCCAGCTAACTCGGGAGGCTGAGACAGGAGAATCACTTAAAATTAGTATTCACTTCTATTGGTGACTACTGGTGACTACTTTTTTTTTTTTTTTTTGAGACAAGGTCTCCCTCTGTTGCCCAGGCTGCAACGCAGTGTCATGATCTTGGCTCACTGCAACCTTCACCTCCTGGGCTCAAGCAATTCTCCCACCTCATCTTCCTGAGTAGCTAGGACTAGAGGTATGTGCCATCACGCCCAGCTAATTTTTGTATTTTTTGTAGAGATAGGGTGTCACCATGTTGCCCAGGCTGCACTATTTTTTTTTAAATCGAATAAATATAGAAATAAAGAAACGAAGCATTAAAATGTTTCATGTTTATAATATTTTAAATTATTACATATTAGTTTTACTAAATTTTATGTAATATACATTTATAATCAACAGTGAGATAATTTTAAATACTTTGACAAAAAATTTTAAAGGTCATGGAATTAAATTTTTCCAATTATTTTTCTTTTTAATTTTTTTAAATGAAGATTTTTATATGGAATGCTTTATGAATTTGCCTGTCATCCTTGCACAGGGCCCATGGTACTCTTCTTAGTATCTTTCCAATTTTAGTATATGTGCTGCCAAAAGAAGCAAGCAGTGTTTTTCTTTTTTTTCGAAAACAGCTTTATTGAGGTATCATTGATACACAGTGGACTGCACATGTCTAATGTGTACAGTTCTGAGTTTCAACATAGGCAAGCGCCTGTGATACCATCATTCCAATCAAGGTAATAGACACATCCAGCATCTCCCAGAGTTCCTCTCTGCCCCTTTGTTTGTGTATTTGGCTTTTCCTCGATAGGAACACTTGAGATCTAGCTTCTTGACTAAACGTGTAGTGCACAATTCTGTATTGTTAACTATAGACATTATGTTGCATAGCAGGTCTTTAGAAGATACTTAGCACAACTGAAACTTCATACCTGTTGAACAATTTCCCATTTCCTTCACATCTCCGGCTCTGGAAATCACTATTATGTTCTATACTGCTATGATGATATTGACTATTACAGATACTTTATTTAAGTGGAAGAATGTAGTATTTATCCTTTTGTGGCTGGCTTATTTCACTTAGCATAATGCCCTGGAGGTTCTTGACTGCTTTGTTGGCTTAAAAATCATCTAAAACTCTACTTGGTGTCTTGACAATGAAGTTTCTTTTCCTTGAATGTCATATACACTGAAAGAATTCTCAATCACAAAAGTTCAGGACAAGCATAAATCCCATTATCGTAGTTTTTGGTCCTAAAGTAATAGATGCATAGAGACTCTACTGTTGTTAGCCAATGTGTCGGAGAGGAAAGAAAGAAAAATACATGGGGTTTCCTTCAAGATTTTAATGGATATTTAATTTGACAAGGACCACCAGAGGGCCAAAATATTTTAGTGAGGTTAGTGAAGCGTCATGCAAAAAATAAAATTAAAATGTGACCTTATAACATTTAAGGGTTATTGCATGTATCAGAGTGCTACAACAATTAACTGGAACAAATTATTTTTGGATAAGATTCAAGATTTTAAACCTGAAATTAAAACTAGAAGTTCAGACTATGGAATTTTACATTTCTAATTATATTGTGAAGATTTTTGCACTTTACAGTTTTACAAAATAAGATAAAGGAGTGTAACATTTCATAAATTCAATACAAAATTCCAAGGGATCCCATTAACGTCCTTATTCTGATCTTAAAATGTTTGGCTGAGTAAAGCATCCACATAAGACTCATTCTATCCCTACAAGACTACAAAATAAGTTCGTGGGTCCTTATTAATCATTTTTCATTTATTAACTCAACACGCATGGTCTGATTGACCATACAAGAATATAGTTACTTCAAAAATATGTCCTTCAAAAGGGCAACCTTCTGCTCCAAGCACAGTACAGAGGAACTGACTGGATATCCCCAACAAATGATACTGTTTGCTTAGTACTAATCTTAAATATTGATGTTAATATTTATCCAAGGAGTAGGCAGGCTTTAGGGACAGCTTTTCCTCCCATTGCATTCTTCATCACTTCATGGGAACATTGACCAGAAAATAGAATCTTTTTTTTTTTTTTTTTTTTTTTAATCTTTACCTCTGCTGCCAACACTTAGTTGTAGGCTGGCTGCAGTTATAGTTGCAAACTTAATTGCTTCTCCCGGAAAGTTGTACTTTAGGCATAATGCAATAGTTAGAGATCATAGAAACCGGTCCTCTGATATCCTATAAAATAATTAAGTTTTCAAAGGAGTAAAAATATATGCTCTGTTCTCCCTTCTTAAAATTGTGTTTCTTTGTGATCTGATACTACTCTTTTGATTAGTAGGCACATAAATGTCTATTATAACTTTATCAGCTTGAATTTGATTTGTTCAGAAATAATCTACCCTGCTCCTTAATTTTTTTTTTTTTTTCTTTCAGGAAAAACACACAGCTGATTTTAAAACAGAGCCAATTACCTTTGATAGACTTTCCCCTGCTTTTAGCAGGTTTGTAAAAGACAAAGCTGTAAAATAAATTGCCTCATTTGGTTACTTTGGTGTTCTTTCATAAGCAGTTTATCTAAAGTGATTTTGCTCAAAATCAGGCATTCTGTGGATATACTCCTGAGAGTTTATTTTGCCTGAGGCAGTCCTCTTTATAATTACCTCATTTTTTTAAGCTTACTTTATGTTTTATGGAGTAGAGTCTTGGACACTTGACCTCCAATTTGCCTATGAATTGGGTTATATTTAATACACATTTCTGTAGGGGACACTTGTCCTTATTACAACAGAATAAGGACGGGATGGCCTTATACTTATATAGCTACCTCTATTAGACACCCTAGTTTCTACCAAATAATTTTACCTCACAATTGTGTTTTGTTATAAAAAACATAATGCTCATATGAGCACACAGAATACTTGCCCACTAGGTTTCTTTGCCAAAAGGAAAATGGAATTCTGACACTCATTTTTCAAAATATAATTTGAAGGAACGAATATTCGAGGAGGATTGCTTAAGGTCAAGCACTCCCTCTCCTTTTTACAGAAAATATAGATTACATTCCTAGAAGAAGCCGAAGCAGCAGAAAACAGGTCATCTAGATCGTTAGCACCCTTTGCAAAATTGCTGCTTCTGAATTGAATTGGGCTCTGGTATGATGCCATCATCCTATATTAAGAATCGAAGCTGTCATTATATTTACTATTTGGCTATTGTGGAAAATGCTGTTTATTTCATCATACAATGATCATACAATATCAGGACCCTTAAAAGAAATTGTCATCTGATCTTACCACCAAGATAAATTGTTCATATTCTGAGCAATTGCTTTCTTTTATCTATTAAAACTGTGACTTACATAAATAATAATTCTATCATCTGAGAAAGGATTGATTGTTTTTCTCCCCAAATATGTGTTATGTACTGTGAACAAAGGGCAATGAGGAGCTCTGGGGTTTTTCTGTGGGAAAATAACTGTGTTGATGTTAGTTACTTCTTAATTCCTTCCTATGTGGCAGTGATAGTCTAAGCAAGTGCTATGGTCTGAATGTCTCTCCAAATTCACATGTTGAAATTTAATCACCAATGTGACAGTGAAACAGGAGAGTTCCTTGATTCCCCTCGCTGGACATGCAACAGGGGTGTGGCCCATATCTTTGATTGCTGCTGCTGCTCAAACCCCTTATGGGAGGGGGAACATGCAGGAGGAACAGGTGCAGGAGCTGGGGTGAGCACGCCTGGGCTCCTGCCCCACAGCAGCGTCTAGTGGTGGGAACCTGCGACTCCCAGAGCCCAAGTAGGCGTGTGTTACAGTGTACTCTTTTAACCTTGATGTTCCTGGATAGCTTAAGTCTTAACACCTCAGTGGACCCTCTGCCTTTTTGCAAAGGCAGAGGGCCAGTGTGACGGTTGTAAGTATACTGAGCTCTTGTCCAGCATTCTGGAAAAATCAGGTCACACATGGACTTGAAGGATGGTGAAGGCAGGGGCCTTATTGGGTGGTGAGTTGGCTCTCAGTGAGATGGATTGGGAGCTGGAAAGGGGATGGAGTGGTAAGATGATCTTCCCCTGGAGTTTGGCTGTCCAGCGGCCAATTTGCCAATGGTTCTCAGCTGAACTGCTCCCAACATTGCTACTTTTCTCTCCTTTTCTGCCACTCTTCTGCTCTTCTATTCACCTGCTCATCTTCTTCTGGAGCTGGGTTTTGGGGTTTATATGGATACAGGATAGGTGGGCATGGTGGGCCAAAAGGCAACTTTTTAGGCATGAAAACAGGAATGCCTGTTCCTATTTAGGGCTGCGGTTATTCATGCTTGAGGGTGGGGCCTTTGTGGGAGAACTGCCCTCCTCCATCCAGTATTTCCCTGTCTCCTGTCCATATCAACAGTACTAAGAAGTGGGGTCTTTAGGATGTGATTAAGTCATGAGGGAGGACCCCTCCTGAATAAGATTAGTGACCTTATAAAAGGCTTTGAGTGGTTGAGTTCACCCCTTTCATCCTTTTTCCTATGTGAGGGCACATTATTGGTTCTCTCTGGAGGACCCAGCAAGCAGCACTGCACCTTCTTGAAAGGGCTGCCTCAAGCCTCCGCTTCCTGCATCCCTCTGCAGTACTCCTTGGTTGCCTCAGTTGTGGCCCAGCTGGGCCCAGATATGGCTCAAACCTCCATTCCAGAGAGGATTGTAGAAAACCTGCTAACTCTGCAGGAACACAGAGTGTACAAGCCGTGGAAGCATGGCTACATCCACCCCGATTATTCCAAATGATGTCCCAGATAGCCTCCAGGTCCAGGCATAGAGCTGCTATAGAACACGCCACTGTAGAGAGCCCTTACTAGGACAGTACTTAGTGGAGCCATGGGGCAGGACAACTTTTAAGACCCTAGGCCTGTAGAGCCACCAGTGTGTAGTGTAACACCAGCCCAGGACAGCCACGGACACTCAACTCCCACTCCTGAGGAGTGGCTGTGTGAGCTATATCCACAGTAAAGCTATGAAGGTGGGCCCCCCCAAAGCCATGGGGACCCGACTCATGCCCCAGTGTGTATGGAAGGCCAGGCATAGAAGATTATTCTCAAGCTTAAAGATTTGATGTTGTTTGACTTGTGACGTGGACTTACTTGGCATCTGTTTCCTCTTTTCTGTTGTCTATTTCTCCCTTTTATAATGAGAATACCTATTCTGTGCCTGTCCCACAATTGTATTTTCAAATTACATAACTTGTTTGATTTCACAATCTCACAGCAGTAGGAGAATTTATCTCAGGATGAAATATACCCTGAATTTCACCCATATTTGATTTAGATGAGACTCAGAACTGTAGATTTTGAGTTGATGCTGGAACAAGTTAAGACTATGGGGGCTATTAAGATGGCTTCAGTGTATTTTGAATGCGAGAAGAACATGAGTTTTGGAGTCATGGATGAAATGCTATGGTTTGGCTGTCTTCCAAAATTCATGGCTTGAAATTTAATTGCCAGTGTGATAGTGTTAAGAGGTTGGGCCTTTAGGAGTTGATAAGGTCATGGGGGCTGAACCCTCATGGATGGGATTAATCACGTATAAAAGGTCTGGAGAGAATGGGATAGCTCCCTTTTTGCCCTGTTGGCCTTTCTGCTGTG